GAGGGGCCGGGGCGCAAGGCTCCTGCCCACCCTCCTCGCCGGGCAAACGCCACCTGCCCCGGTGCCGCTTCTCGAGCTCGTGATCGTTTGTTTGTGGTTTCTTCCCCACTGCCAAATAGCGTGCAGTGGAAATGCAGGGTGCTCGTGTCGTGTGTCCCCTCCCCCCCTCCAGCTTTAATCTATTTTTCATGTCGAGCAGCTGAGGCAAGGGGATCCGTTCTAATGAATGGTTAGTCTCAGACGTGTCACCGGCTGAGTTTTGCTTGTCCAGTGCTGCCAAGTCGGCCACAGTGTTACTGCAAACTTTTTTTGGGGTGTGGACGCTTTAGTTTTTTTTTTACACTACCTTGACAAGACGTAAAAATATCTTGTGCTGTAACTCCTACTTTGTTACTACTGCATTGCTAAGATCCTATGGCCTGTATTTAAGAGGCACTGGAATAAAGTTGAGAGGGGTTTCAGCTTGTAAAAAGAAAACCCTGAAAGCTGAACAGGCCCTTGCTCTTTTTATATGAGAACAGGAAGTCAGATCACAAAGCTAAGAGGGAAATTTAGAGAAAGGGGGAAGGGAAAAGAACATTCTTTGCATAGCCACTGTTAGTTTAACTACGGAGGAGCTGAGTGATGGTCACTACTTCTGTAGGGTCTGGCCTGGATTTTCCTGACTTTTGTAATTTTGTAAGGCCTGGGGTCGGTGTTGGGTTGTGAGTGACATCACGTGTAGTTTCGTGGCTTTCCCAGCATTCAAAAGAGACAGAAAAAGGCTTGAAATTCACTAGGGTGAGGTACGGTCCAATTGGTCTTGATAAGGTGTGCATATTTCCATCTTCATCTAGGAGTGCCTGTATGGGAACGTTTGTTTCCTTCCCTTTCTATATGTGATAAGCACACTGGATAAATTTCTATGCTTTTTTTCCCAGGACTGTTTATTAATGAAGTCTAGTATAGTGTTCAAAGACAATGTGTATGAAAGATTAAGGTAACATCTTAAAGTCACTTTAAGTTCTGGAGTCACTTGCTTAGGAAGACTGTGGAGTGTAAATTTTCCATGAAATAAGTCCAAGTTTTATTGAAACACCAGTGGTTGTTGCCCTTTCGTGAACTGTATGGTTACATTCTCAAGTCAGATTTTGAGGTGGTTCCTGTTATTTTCAGGCAAAAATGTTTCAGCACATAAAAATGTACCTATTTACTATTTCATGCAGAATTATGAACTTGCATGCAAACAATGAACAGCCTTTAATATTATCTGTAAACATACACATTCTTGAAATCTAAGATTTTATATGATCAAAATGCAAGCCTAAAACTAGATATGGGCTTTATTTTGGTCTATTTTATCTTTATTATTAAAGACATTAATCATGCATGTGATTTTAAAACAACTTATTAAGAAATAATAGTATAGAATAGATGCAAATTAATATGCTCTGTTTGATTTGTTTTGGTTTTAATTGTGAAATACTTCTTTGTGAAGTTGCACTGTACCCTGGGTTCAGCTTAAACCACGACACACTGATTATTTTGTTTATCTAATAGTGATTTTCCTAATTAAATGAATAAAGCTAGCCTGGCATTTTCCAGTGTGTGTATTATTTGAGTATAGTTTTGGGGTTTTTTTCTCCTTCGCTTTTGGTGGGCACACAAATACATGATAAATTACTGCATAACAATGTTCCTTTTATGTAGTTTGAGGGGGTTTTATGCTTATGCTGTAATGTAAACATAAGTTCCCAACAAAGAACCAGTACATCTGAAAATCTTGACAGATGATTCAAAGAGCTCTTTAACTGTATACTCTACAATCCATATTTGAAGGGGGAGAGGGGGAAGTCACTTACTGAGCAGTCTCTTTGGTGTGTGTATTAAGTGGGAGGGTTATGTCTTTCAGTACTCTAGCTACAGGGGGATAACTGTCCTTCAAATCTCTCCTCCTTTCCCATGCAGTGTAAAATTTACCACTGGATCTTCTTGTATTTACTTCACTTTCGTGCTTTCTTTTAGGCAACCTGCCCAAGCATGCGGCACAGCCCCTGAATCAGCACTTGAGCTGAAGCAGATCGGTCATTGTCCCAGCATCTCACATCTTACCCAGGTCACGATGGTGCCATTGGGGCACTTAGCCAAAGGGGCCACTTTGGAAGATCTTCTTGAAACCTGCATTCAGTCTTTTGGTGAGTGGCTGGATGTTTTCAGAATTTTGTTAATTTGTTACCATTCTGGCTACATTTAGGTCACTTAATAGTGAATTACATTGATGTATTAGTGGAGTAGAAAGGCATAACTTTGCTATGTTGTACGTGACCACATTCTCATAGGTTTGTGAATCTATTTATGCTTATATATGTGTAAAATGTGCTAAGAGATTAGTGTGACAACTGCTTTTCCTTGAGAGAATAAGACAAGTGCCAGTCATCTATACTTCTGTGTGTGTTTCTTTGTTGTTCCTTCAAGTACCAGTTTGGTAAACTTTAGCAAGTAATCATTATATTCGCATATTGCAGTAATATTCTTATAATGTTTGCAAACAGTGTGTTTATATAAAATATCTTGAAATTAGCAGGGCTATTTTTAAATTAGATGAAAGAAATAACACTGGATTGCTTCTTGCATTATCTGTATATATTTGAACAAAACAGAAAGAATACAAATAAAAATCACAACCATATACCTTTTTGAATCTATCAGTTACCCATTTGTCCTTTTACAATAAGAATTTTAATATATGGACAGGCATGATTGTTCCCCGAGTTCTGCATCTCTAGTTTCTTTTTCCAACATTTTTAATTACTAAGTATGTTTTTCTTTTATATTATTAAAATATGTTAGTGCTGAAGGCACTCAGAATGATTCTGAATAATTTGCTTGTAAGTAGTTCATCTGTTCATTAATGCTGTCTTTCAGCCCTGTAAGCTATTCCCAAACTATATGTGGCAAATTCCTAGCTGCAAAGTAGTCCTTAGAAAATAAATGTACTTGAAAACCCACTAGGGTCTAAAATAATTAGTCGATATAGTTAAATAGTAACACATAGTGGTGATCTAGTGATAAAGCACATAAATACTGTATAAACAATGACTAATGTTTCACATTCATTGGAAATTTTTATGGTTTTTTTTTTAAACTTTAAAGCCTTCTAATCAGCATGTGCAGAGAAATGCATGGCTGAGAAAAACTGATGAAACATGTAATTGTCAGTTATGTTTTGCTTCTTTTTAGCTCTTTTATCCTCCACTTAATTACTGTAAAGAACATATTCACTGGATGCTATAAAGCTCCAACTCCTAAACAAATGTTGATTCATATTTTTATAAGTTTTAGTTCACTGGGAGTCAGATAAGACATCTAAAGCCTGTGTAAGACCTTCATACAGTTTTAATGTTGTGACTACTTGACCAATATTACTGTGTCCACATTTTTATAAAAAAAGGGTATGATAAATATAACATAAAAATCTAGTAAAATTATTATGGTGATTGATTTCAAGTACTGTAGGTGAAACCCTGAATAGGAGGTTAATGTTGGCTTAATTATTTTAATACTTTGTATAACAGCATACACATGCTTATGTGTTCTCAGATTCCTGGGCATCCATATGTTACAAGGAATAAGGTGACAAAAGAAAGCAAATGTACCTGTCCAGTTCAGCTATATATATGCATGTGACTCTTTCTAAAGGGTTTCTTACCTTAGTTAAGTAAGTCTACTAAACAGGGTTTTCTTGAACCTTCACAGGTGGTACGTAGGTCTAGCAAATTGTAGTGCATCTGCAAACATAACCTTAAACTCACTGTTGATTAGTAGGCTTATGATGTGTGGTGCAGAAGTTTAAAATTGGACAATTCATAGTAGTGTCTGTACATCTTTTCTGACATAATGTATGTTTTTAAGCCGTGTTGGAATTTACCAGTAGGATATGAATGATTAGTAGTAAACTGAGTAACTGAACAAGTTTCTTTCCATGCATAGTATTAATGTAAAGCTATTGCTGTGTAATAGTTCTATTCAGACTGAGTTTATATCTTCAGTCTCACGTTCAGTCTCACATATGCTGACCTATAATATATTGAAAATTATTTTAGAAATTAATTATTGTGATCTAAGCAAGCTTTATTTCAACATTAAAAATACAGAAACCCCTAAGACATAAGCACAGATTTGTATATCTTAAGTTTACTTTCTGGAAAAAGCCCTTGACTCATTTGCTGTCTAGGGTTAAGGAGAGCAATAGGCAGTAGGTAGAGATGATGCATCACATTTCAGAATATATACTGCGTCATGTTAATATTATACTGCACTTGCTAATATTATGTGTAAAAATAAACAATTTGTACAACACAATTCCTATATTAAGGCGGCAGCTGAATTTATGTTCCTAGATTCAATTATACAAATTTGAATAAAGCATATAATGCGTAAGAGAGGCTGCTGTCAACAATAGTGTGTAAAAGAAGTCTGCAGCTTTTTGCCATATATGCAGAGAATATCATGAGAAGTTCTGAACAAGAAGGTATTAAGAATTAATACAAACTTACAGCTGTGAAGAACACGAGTTTTAAGTTATTTATCCTACAGTATGGATAAGAGGAAGAAACAAGAAGGCTAAACTTTGCCACAGTCTTGTAAATAGATTCCAGGATGTTTTGTAGAAAGACAAGTTTTGTCCAGGCAGCCAAATTAATCGAAAACCTGTGCTAAGGAGACAAGGAGCAAAGATTGGGTCTTGGTGATATTGTCTGTGGGTCCACAAGAGTGCTGGGTAGGTGATGATGTTAGAATGTGGACAGTATGGCATGTTTTTTTGTTTGGGCTTTTTTTTTTTCCCCTTTGTTTTTGTTTGTTTTTGTTTTTGTTTTTTTTGTTTTTTTAAGAAAAGAAGAGACACTTTCTCAGTTTCATTAACTTAAACATCTACTTGGGGATGATGAGTGTGTGCTCTTTCACCTCACAAATTTGGTCTTCTTTAGCTTGAGCTGACGAATGATAGTCATGTGCTTTAGAGACAATGAGGATCATATGAGATACTGCTAGGTCATGTAGATGATCACTACATCTGAGAGATCAGCATTACACCAGTATTTCAGTACCATGAGGAGAAGGAGGTGCTGAAAGTAGAGGTTTCTTCAAGTTCCATGAAAGTTTGCATCAGAATAGAATCATAGAATAGTTAGGGTTGGAAAGGACCTTAAGATCATCTAGTTCCAGCCCCCCTACCATGGACAGGGACACCCCACATTAAACCATGTTGCCCAAGGCTCTGTCCAGCCTGGCCTTGAACACTGCCAGGGATGGAGCATTAACCACTTCTTCGGGCAACCTGTTCCAGTGCCTTAGCACCCTCACTGTAAAGAGCTTCTTCCTTATATCTAACCTGAACTTCCTCTATTTAAGTTTAAACCCATTCCCCCTTGTCTTATCACTACAGTCCCTGACAAAAAGTCCCTCTCCGGCATGCTTGCAGGCCTCCTTCAAATATTGGAAGGCTGCTACGAGGTCTTCATGCAGGATGAGTAAGATGAATCATAGAATGGTTTAGGTTGGAAGGGACCTTAAAAGTCATCTAGTTCCAACTCCACTGCCATGGGCACAGACA